ACAAATGCAGTTATTTTAAGAAAAAATTACTTATCTAGATTTGGATTTTTTCCAGTGAGAGTTCAATGTTTTTATCCTTTAGGTTTGGCATTACTTACATCTTTACATTGATGGTAAAATTAAACCAGATTATTGAATAAATTACAGAAGAGAACTCGAAGAAGTGAATCACAGAGAAGATGCTAAAAGTTTATAGAAAAGATTCTTATCACACTTACCTCCTGCCTGCGCCCTCCTCCTGATGACCAGGTTGACTTGTCCGTTCCGTCCCGCCGCATGCATCAGATCGATGACGTATCTGTGCGGTTTCCCCACCACCGGGATCCCGTCCACAAACAGCAGCTCATCGCCCGGCCGTAGCCGTCCGTCTACATCTGCTGGACTCTTCTCTATGATCGCTCCAATAAGGATCTATTTATTTCATTTAAACAGAGAAAGTTGGATGGGGTTGACCTCCAGATTAAACTTAGATTATGGGCTTATTGTGTGAATTAGCAGGTGTTACAGTTATTGTTAATCAGAAAGGATGTCTAACTTTACATCCTGTGCCTTGCAGAAGGGTTTGTGTCCCTTGAACCTTTTTACATTCAGTCTCTTTACAACCTACAATTAGTTTGCAGTTTATCTAGATTTTAGTGACAGATTAATGCCAAATTGCACATAACTATAAAATGGAAAGCAAGTGATGCAGTTTTCATATTTCTTTTGTTGAATTTTTTTTTTACAAATACTAAGTAGGCATGCATTCATCTACTTTATTTTGATACCTAAATAAAACCTACTGAATTCAAGTTAACTAATTATTAAATAATCCATTTGTATATAATTTAATCCCAGTTAATTCAGGCGAACTGTAATGGAAAGTAAAAAAACATGGAGCCAACATTTTTTATCTGCACGGACAGATCACATGCAGTCATTTACAATCTCAATAAATCTGTCCAATGGATGCAGAATTTTATTCTTTTAAAATATTCAGAATCAATCAAACTACTTTAGAAATTGTAGATTTCAATAATTTACATACTTTTTGATGGCTGAAAAGAGGACCACTATTCTCACTCAGTTGACGGAAGTTTTTCATATTTGCTGGCCTCCAAGCGCAGCATGGATGGATCCTACGTCTTTTAAGTTGAGTTGGGTTGCTTATTTTAATGTTTTAATATTGGGTCAAAGATTTTGACCAAAAAGAAAGACTTTGCACTAGTGTGTAATTTCCCTCTGTTGAATCGGGGCTCATCATCCTGGCCTTGAGGCTCGGCAGTGGCAGTATCATACTGAGGAGATACTTCTTTTTACCCCAAAAAGGGGAAAAAAACTAATTAGAAATTGTATTAAACCAGAGCTACAACAGGATGGTTTAAAGGAGAACTTCGGTCACATTAAGAATACAAACTTCTGAAAGTTCTTTAAATATGAAATGATTCCATCCTGTTCAATAAATGATCAGTGTTTTTAATTCAGAGTAATTTTCATGTGAATGTGCTTTACTGGAGGCATCCATGTTTGTCAAAGAACACTACTGCCACCTACTGGTTTGTGACGTCACGGTGCGGTATCGGCTGTTGATCAAGTCCCAGTGCTGTATCTGGTGTTTGTCACAACGCGCTATTATCCAAGTCATCTTGAAAACATTCTTCTTCCAAATGTTGGCTACATATTACGGGTTTTTTCTCTGGCCAGAAGTTCGATGGCAAATCCTCCCTCTTCAAGTTAGCGATCCAACGACCAACCCGTCCGTGGAGGATCAGGAATCAGAAAGGTGGAATAACTCTTTTTTTCACTTTTACCCGATGTATTCCAGCATCCAGCTGCCATGCACGTGGGCATTGTCAGTTTCACTATAGCTCTGGTGAATTTCAATGGTGAAGTCCTCTGGAAATCTTCAATAATTGTTGTTGATTGCAGATGTGTCTAGTAGTTCCCATTGATTTAGCTTGTAAAGCGGGGAGAATGGCGCTAGGCTTACCGCACCGTGACGTCACTGCTGGAAGATGGCAGCAGGGAGGGGTTACTATATTTGGGCAAAAATGGCCGCTCCCAGACTAGGTGATCGCCATGAAAATTATTATTATTTGTTTTTACTGATTAATGTTAAATTAATTAAATCACTGCGAACGTATTGGTTCAAAGTATATATAGTTATCCAGTGATTATTCCTTGCTGACCAGACTTCTCCTTTAAAATAAAGTATTTTAATCAAAGTTCAAACCTTAATCCAATAAAAAATCTGGAAAACTTGAAAAAGAAATGCTCACTATGGCTGCAACTAACAATTTTTATAAGTCGATTAATCTGTCTATTATTTTTTCGATTCATTGATTAATAATCGTATAGCAAAAGATTCTTTAAAGAAGACGTTTTACTAAATTAAACCGGGTGAAACTAAAACTTTTCCACAAGAGGAATTCTAGATAGAACAGGTGGAAAGAGTTTTTTAAATCTTAAATGCAAAATGTTTACATATTTTTTACAATCTCGGTATCAGTGTGTCGCTCATTCAGCTAAAGGCATGTTTTACAGTCTCTATACTCCAGTTAACGATTAATCGATTACTGAATTAATCGATTATTTGAATAATCGATTAATCCAATTAATTGTTTCAGCCCTAATACTCCCATATATTATATCTAAACAGTAGAAAATGCAGCTCATGCTTTTTCAGATTATTTTAGATTTCTTTTAGGTCACAATCATTTATTTTTTCAGTTTTAAGTTTGTTGTTACTATGTGACAAAATGTAGGAAAGCTCAGGGGGGCGTGAATACTTCTGCAAACCACTGTGGTTGGAGGGTTACATCAATAGCAAGCCAGCACTCTCTCAGGGCTGAGGGTCAGGGGTTAGGTACACAGAGTGGGTGTGGAGTGGATTAGAGTAGAAAATGACAGGGTTTCACACCCATCGCCATACGAGCCTTCTCACGTGTCTCCACACTCACAGGCTGCCCGGCCTCATCACCGCCCAGCACCCGAAAACCAAACCCAGACTTCTGTCTGCGCAGGTGGACCTCGATGTCCTGGTATTCTGCTCCTTTAACCAATAGAAAAAACAGTTAGATCACATGTCTGGAAGATGGGAACAATATCCGTCAAGACATCATGCATTTACCTGATGAGTCCACAGGAAATACAGTCCTTGGCTGCACAGTTTCTGGAGAAAAGAAGAGAGAAAAACAATGCAGACAATAAGAGAGAGAGAGAGATACCAAAAAACAGATGCTCCCATATAGGACCGAATCTTCTAGTCAGCACTAATGTCATCGCAGAATCTCAGCATCATCCATAAAGTCAGGAAGTGCTTACAGAGGGTAATACGGCTCTTCATTATTTACAACACGAGGTGGGATGTAAGCACTGATCTGTAATCAGGGGGCTCCATGCTACACCATGATCCGCGGCACACGGGGGCAAACCCAGCCGCAGACAAGAGGCAGCGAATGAAAAATTGATTCCAATTGTATCTGCTTTAATCATAGCGAGCGCTCTGCTGGGACTCAGCATGAACAATGAGAGAGGAAAATCATGACTGCAGACTGACACAGCTGTTTGCCCCTCCAGTAGGATGAAGATAAACCATGCATTACCATAAAACTGTTTGAAGTCTAACAAACAGCATCATTTAAACATCAGGGCAAGTTGTTTTTCCTCCATTTTCAACAAAGAAAGGGCATTAACTAAAATGGCTAATGTAAAATAAAGATCTGCCATAAAGCAGCAAAATGGAACATTTTCCTTCCTATATATAGAATAAAGACGAAAAGTAAATACATCCTCTTTCAAAATGATTTAATCCAAAACCCCAAAAACCCAATAGATTCTACAATGTCATGATTTAATTAGCCAAGAAAATATAAAAAGCTGCAACCAGACGCTGTGGATCGTGTCCTTTAATAATAAATGGTCCTTTATGTAAAGACCATTTTAAGGCAAGACTATGCCTTAAAATGATGGGAAGACATCAGGAAGCTCAGAAAAATTACTTACAACCCAGGATATCTGCTTCAGACTCAGTTTTACCAACAGAAACAGTTTTTTT